CTTGTCCTCCAGCTCCTTGGCCTGCCGCTCCTTGTCCTCCTGCAGCCTCTTCCTCTCCTCCTGCCCGTCCCTCACCTGCTTCTCCACGGCCTGGAGGCGCTGCCGGAGCTCCTGCAGCTGCCTGCTGGAGGCGATGCGACACTGCTCCACGCTCACCTCGCAGGTGCTCCTCCTGACGTACATGGTGTCGCGGTCCTGCTGCCAGCGGAACAGCCCCTCGGCGTCCTCCCGGAGCTGCTGCAGCTTGTTCTCGGCCTCGCTGCAGCGGTACTGCTTCACCAGGCCCGCCACCCGCTGCAGGTTCTCGTTGATGTCGTTCTTCAGGGTCCTGCTCTCGTGCCTCAGCAGCTCCAGCTCGGTTTTGGTGAAGTCCCAGCTGGTCCTGTTGGTCCTCAGGTCCTCCTGGCACCTCTCGTGCTCCTGGCTGGTTTTGGCCAGCGTGGTTTGCGTTTTCTGGTAGTTTTCCTGCAGCTCCTTCTTGGACAGGGTGATCTGGTCCAGCTGCCTCTGCAGCTGCAGCTTGTCGGCTGCGAGGGGAGCGGGGACGGGGTGGGTGTCCCCCAGTGCCACCCCCTGTCCCAGCCTGACACCCCTGCCTGCAGCAGGGATGGGGAAGGGCTTCCCCTGCCCGGGTCCCTGGGGGGTGCTGGGGGTCCCCAGGAGGGTGGGAAGCGGGTGCTGGGGGTCCCCAGGAGGGTGGGAAGGGGATACCTGGGATTTGGGGACGGGGGTCTCTCTTACCGTTGCACGAGGTGTTGATGAGGCTGGTGGTAATTTGGCACTCGGCCAACTTCATCTTGATGTACATGAACTCCTGCAGCTGAGGGGGGGAGGAAGAGGAGGAGGAGGAGGAGGAGGAGGAGGGTCAGAGCATCCTGCAAGGACCACCCCCACCCCCACCCTGGCATCACCTCGTGGGCGCTGGGAGAGCACTGGGGGCTGGGGAGGAGGAAGAGGAGGAAAAGGATGGGAGGGGGGTCAGAGCATCCCACAAAGACATCCCTGAGGTATCACCTCATCCCTCTGGACACTGGTGAGAGCATCGGGGACGGGACAGGGACAGGGACAGGGAC